GTGTTCGTTTTGTTTTGTTATTTACACTTCTGATTTTCGTATACTCGATACTAATGAACTTATTTAAGTGTGGAAAACCTTTGGTAACTAGTTCTTCAGTATTTTCCTTTCTCTCTTCCTTTATGCACTGTTATTGTACATTAACAGAATGTTTCAGAGGAATCGCAATTCTTGTATTCTATACTTTCTTCCGAAAAAAATTTGAATTATGATAATTGCATTAATCTCTTATTCGAAATACGATGTATATAAGTCTTCTCCCTAATAAATGGATGACGTACGAGATTAGTTTTATGTCGCTTGTGTTCTTTTTGTTTTACGTGCTGTTTATGTTATTAGTACATGTAATATGTCTGTTGTGTTTAATTATTTTACTCTCGTGATTTTCAAAGCTTTGGATTACGTTTGGTTTGATCAATATTGTTGACGTAAATTATACCATGTGCTATGTATCATTTCTTTGAGTTGTAAATTAAACAATCTCAGAAATACTTTATTCTCTAAATATTTTAAATGTTTTTCACCCGACTAATCGAAATTCGCAATATCCCTTGTCTCAGTGTGCTTGTTTTTATGAACAACAAATGTCCAATCTCATTAGGGTTTGCTTATATGAAAAAAACACTAGTTTTACATGTGATTACTTTTTAAATCCTAACCATCACAAAAAAGACAGATTGTCAAAACTGACTAATTATATATACTACTGTGGTGATGTGTTCAGTATACAATTTGATGAGACAGGCAGTGTAAGAACCACTGGTTGATTGCCTTGATATAATCAGAATTATAAACAGTGGTTAATGCGTAAAACAGATACATATATAATAATGCACTGATTGAAAGTGTTATAGAAATGATATAATATGATCTATACTTTGTATAAGCTTTATTGGTATTTGTGCGTTTAACCAAAAATTAAGTAAAATTTATTTCCTCACACTTTCCCATGGGTAATATTTTTTGTCGTTTCAAACTTTTTGGTTTCAAGCGTACCAGTACCTGATGACGGTTATTTCCGGAAACACGTGTTTTGCCAACGGAAATCATAATAATTTTCATAATATTATGTATTTTATATAAGTTTTGTAATTTAAAAAAAGTCGAAAATATGCAATGCCATGTCGTTTCTTGACAAGATAACGAGACATCATCAGTGCAAGATTACACTTCATTTTAGATTGATCGACTATGTCATAACTACATACTGTCTAAACTTTCTAATATATAATACTTAGAAAAAGTATCAGCAATACCCCATGTTATTATAAAAAACATGTATAGTACCCACTGTATCTCATATATGTATAGTTGACATTTTAAGGCTAAGTGTAATGTAAAGTTCAAGATTCAATTGATTTGTTTAAAATTTACTTTTTATAAAAGGGGGCCACTTTGATAGTTCCCTTGCATTATTAGAATTAGACTTTAAACAATTGATATCAGGATATTTATCGTCATTATGGACGATTGGATGTGGAATGATTGGTTGTAGTCGTTTTTCTCCTCTACGTTCATCTTCGCTAACCAAGGTTTACGATCGAGTCCCTTCCTTTCCATCCTTGGCAGATTAAGACAACATTTGTGATAAAAATGTTGCGCCATCTACCGGTAGATAAAAGTCACGCCCATTCCTATTACATCACTCTTGACCAATGGCAGCACTTGAACCCTCTTCAGTGTGGGGGTGTAAAAATGGTTGCGTCTAGTATTTACAAACGTCATAAAGCTGAAACCGAAAATATACGTTGACATTCCAGCATTTACGCAATAAACATACCCAAGAACTTCTATTAGTTGATTGAGAACTTTAAAATTGTCACGTAATGTCGTCATATATCTTGGGGGAAAAGACATGTTGCACAATCAGCACGTGGCAATTGTTTATTAACATTTTCTACATTTACACGTGATCATCTTAATCCGTCAAGGGTGGAGAAGAGGGGACTGGATAGTAACCCTTGGATAACAAAGATGCTCTACATTAAGAAAATGATATATTGAATTGACTGAAATAATAGATAATGTGTAGTATGATTGATTAAAAATACAACAAAACAAAAATAAATAACCCCAAAAGACATATGTAGTTAAGTTCCTGTCGATTGAATTCACTCCTTGTCAACTGTGTTCAGGTGATGATGATAAAAATTTACAAGAAATGAGCAATTGAATTTATTTTTAAATTATTTGAAAATATCAAAATGCACAGCTGTTTATAATGAGATATTCAGGGACATCATAAAACAGTTTGCGTACTGCACCTGCATTGATTAATTGCAAGAAACTTTGAGATGAACGATTATATTTCAATATGCATGATATAAATTAACACGAGACTAAGTTCTGTAAGTCTTTTAAATGACATCAAGTAAAAGCTTAGACCGCCCTCTAATTTTATCCTGCGCAAAAAGCTTCCTGTCAATACTGTCAGAAATTTGATAATTGTCACCACAAGTTGAAAAAACCAACAGAGCAAGGTTATAGTTATCCGAATCAATACAGTTAAAGCTGAATCTAGATAAAATCCCCGTAATAATGGTAATGTCGTATAAATAGGTGGAAAATATACACACAACATGCTGCTTGTCAATTCTTTATCAGTCTCCTTTGGTCATGTATCTCTTAAAACTTTCTTAAGCACTAATACCTGTACATCCCTGGCTTTCAAATATTTGGATTTTAGCGTTCCTTATGAAGGCAAATGCAGAAAAGCTCTTCGGAAGTAAGAAATACATAAAGCTTTATTTTCATTCAACAGTTTTTTTTATCATTAAAATATCTATAATCCTACTACTCTGAAAAAAGTTAATACAAATGAAAATGTATCATTATAATGGTTGAATTTTTAATTTGCGAATCAGTTGTATTTACAAAGTGCAAACTATATGCATGTTAGTCGTCTTAGAAATGGATGACGTGCGATATTCTTTTATCATGTGTATGTCGCTTGTATTCTTTTTGCTTTCGTGCTGCTTTCGTTATGATTATATTGTTATGTTTTATTCTATTTCTCTCGTGATTTTCGAGGCTTTAGATTAGTTTGGTTAGATCAATATTAGTTACGTTAATTATACATTGTAATATGCATCATGTATATTAGCTTCAATTTTATTTGTATCTCTTTGTGTTTTAAAATTAATTTATTTCTGGTATTCTCTCAATAATTATATTGTTTTCCCCCTCGAAGAAATGAAATTCCTAATTATCATTTTCTTTTCTGTAAGTAAACCTTATCAATTTGGTTGCTTTTAATGATCATACATTGTCCAATCTTATGAAGCGTTATTTTCATCAAACTGTGTTTTTTGTCATTAAAATTTTAATCATCCTACTACTTAGAAAAAAAAAGGTAATAAGATATCATTGTAATGGTTGATTATTTAATTTTCAAAAGAAGAATACAAAAAAGAAGATAATAATGATTAATATTACGGATTACAAATGTGTCGAGTTTTGTGATTGAATAAAAACACAGAGATGTCAGTATATATTCAGGAAACTGCCGGGGTATATACGATGTTTTTTACCCCAATTGGAACCTCAACAACGTCATCACAACGAACGTTACTATGTTTATACAGAACACATAAAGAACGTCAGAGGCTCACAGAGGGCAAATAATGACGTGTATCTGTCAATAATAGGGTTTTAATTTAAAACCACGCGATTTACACATCAAATACTTAATTAATGTCTTAAAGTGTTATTACAAATTATTGCATACACGATAGAACTATTTTCACAGCAAATTACAAAATCCTTCACGTATGCGTAATATATATATATATATACTGCATGGTAAATGTTTAACAAATACCTGGTACTGGGAAAAACATTAAAGAAGGGGTAATCCGTAATATATGTGTTATTCAGGTCTCAGACAGGGTATATAATGTGAAATCCCCTTCGCCTTCGGCTCAGGGAATATAAACTCTAATCCGGGAATGTCACAGTATATACCCTGTATGAGACCTGAATAACATATAATACATGGTTGTACCGTGACCACCCTTTATTTCCAGTATGTTTGAAAGTCCAGAAAGTTGGAATTGATGTAATTTGCGTTCACATTACATACACATCGTGAACATTTCTATTGGACAGATCTGTAAATGTTTTTATTCAGTTTAAATATAACCGGAAACTAGCGCTTTTTATACGTTAAGATAGTTCTAATAACCCTGTTCTTACAAATTTTCATGCAAATGATATGCTTCATGTATTGTCATTTAAGTTTTGGTTTTATTGATAATTTGGAACCTTTAATTAGAATTGTTAAATACATTTGCGATTTTTAAGTGCATTCAATACATTTGTACTTTAATCTGCAAGATACACAATTTGCCTCAACTTGGAAAGTTTACAAGTCACACATATACATTTCCCATATCTATGTTCAGTTGTACGTGCTTTAGTTCATACAAATTCGTTGGATATCCCATTATTTGTACCTTATACTTTAAAAAATTTCTGGTTTTATCCATGTAGCGCCATAAAAAATGCTTACCCCTTCTTCCTTTTTTTCATAATTCAAATGCATAAAGTTCAAAAAGCTTTGTTTTAAGTTCTTATAAAATCTTTGCTATTTTCTGAATAGTTTTTGACAGAAAAAAAGGTAGCAATGTTAAAAGTGGGAAAAATCTAGAGAGAACCATTCCCCTCTAAATTTTAAATGGCTTATATATATCTCAAAAACAAGGATACGGACCTCTCATTTTTTAATTTATTTTTAGTTCTTTAATTTATGTACTTTAAAGTTATAACAGTATTTTTAATTGCTTGTTATTTTTTGTAGCAGGGTAACAAACTCCCTGAAAACAGACATCAAAGGCTTGATTTCCTATGCTCGCCTTAAAATAATCAACTTTTTTATGATTTGTATTAATTAACATATGTTTTATGAAAGTAAAAAGAATGTCTTTCGATATGATTCGTACAATATGTATTTCTTTAATCTTACCATGGACAAGGTTGGCAAAACTGTCAAAAAATAGAACTAATAATAAATTTTTATTATCTTTTTTTTATGTCTTAAGGTCATAAATAGACCATGTAGCCATATTGCCTATTCTCCGATGTTACCACCAGGAACAACGCCCAATACGACTGCCTTTATAGATTTTTCGACAGTAGCAAGATGGATGCATGATGCCGCAATCCCAGTTATTCCAGCAAACTGCAAATTAGAATAAAAAGAAAATTGAACAAAACCAATCAAAAGTCACTAAAACTATTACGTTAATGTAAACAGCAACACAAAATGTAAATGTCTAGTTTGGTATCTACTCATTTGCATCTTATTGACTGCTTCTTTTCATGTGAATACTAAGAATAAGGCGTCAAATCCCTAAACATTTTGGGTATATTTAAAGGAAAACATATCTCATCTATTGTAACATAATTACACAGACAATAGAAATTGCACAAAACAACTTGTCATATTATTTAAAAGATTTAGTATGGTTGTTCACCAAGTTCGATAATAACGTGCAATTTTTTTCATGCATTGGACATATAGTGAATACTGATGTTTATTTGAAAAATTGAAACGACAGAAAAAGTACCAATACATAAGTATCTGCTCTTGATATAGATATAACTCATTAATAATTATATCCTCTAAATTATATTCTGTGAAGGTGCACTTAAGTCATATACATGTACAAGAAGTAAAAAAATCAATGTAAGAAAGCAGACAAACATACACGTCTCGTAATAACGAAATATAAACGTGCTGTGTTGCCTGTTTACCGATAGAGGAAATCTGAGACAATAGAGACAATCAAGACGATTTTCAATCTACTTCATACAAATGGCAATTATTACATCAATTTGTAATTATTGCGTTTTGGATAATAATTTCTCAACGCTATACTATAGTTTTGATCTTCTATTCGAAATTTGTATCAATCATCATCAATATAAGATAAGTAAAATATTGGATGTTTAACATCTAACATACATGTACATACAAGACATAAATATGCCTTTGAGATATTGAAAAAAAATGTTGTCGATCACGTTTAGTTCTTTTTCTCTACATTGCGCTTTCTTGGAGGAGCCGAACGAAAATACAACAACTTGTAATTTTTGTATTAGACTCAGCTTAAAGAACGAATACATGACTCCGTGAAAGTGTAAATACGACGTTAACGAAGAGGGTTCACTAATATAAGGAAATTTTCGATTTTCCATAATTAAAGTTTCTGGGAACACCAGGAAGGCAAAAATATCTTATTCTGAAATTCTCGGTCTCACTATCATAGATAATACAATATTATCTTAGATAGATTCCTAGCACTCCTTTTGTAAACATGTGTGCACTACTTTTACGAAAGGAAACGGACTAAAAGTCAACCAATTGCATACAAAAGATAGCACAGAAAAATAAAATTTAATCTTACTAAAAAAGGGTAGTAAATTATATGCCCCCAAACGGAAATCAGTCCCTGTATATTCCACCAGTGGCTTCATGACAGATGAAATTTCGGTGTAAAGCGTGTATGGGTAATAAGTTCTAATTTCACACAAAGAGAAGCCCAGGATTCTGCAAGGCTGACCCAAAATAGAACAAATGGTCATCTATTTTGTAACGGTCACCCAATAATGTTGACGTCTTTTCTGTAAGACTGTCAAGCAGATATCTTTAACGTTACCATAAAGATCCTGTAGAAACTTAACGAATTTGAATGTAAATTCCATGGCCAATATACATAAATCGCGGAAGAAATTGCATTATCGTTCAACTCAGCATTTATTTTTTGTACAAAACGATATCGCTCATTTGAAGAAAAATGTCAGTTTACTGCGTCGTAATTAAAATTTAAACATTCTACTGTAAAACACAATCATTGTATTGTCGCCGCTGTTTATATACCCCGTACTTTAAAATACGATGCATGTTTGACTGTTTCTCTACATAAGATGAAACTTACATTTCTTATAACATTGTGGTCTAGTGAAAAACGAGTCCGCTAAATCTGTAAATAGAGTGATTAATATCTTATGAATGTGCATAACGTAAGCAATTAAAACGATTAAATTGTATTTAACTAATATTGAAATTAAAAGTTTTGTCAAACTTCATGTTTACTGGCGAAATTTGTCCTTAAAAATATCGTGTCTATATAGTTATATACTTAATTTTCTTTTCACATCATTTTATCGTTTTTATAAAAACTGAAGTCAGTGTAACCATGAAACTTTTAAATTGACAATGAGTTAAATAAGAAAAACAAATGTTGTATAATAGGAACTCACCAAAAGAACCAATCAGGACCAAAAGCACAACAACAGCCATCAGAGCATTCTTTGTTCTCATCTTTGAACTATGTGAATTTCTTAAAATTGAGAAAGGAAAACATTTAACAGATACATTTCTTAATCATTTGTCCTTGAATTCTTTTTTGGGGGAAATATATATGTGATATCAAAATCATCGTGCGGGAACTTAATCACAATTGGAAGTGACCGCTTTAACTAAAGGTACATTTGACTTAAATAGATTTTATTGTCATAAATTTTGAACAAATACCGGGAAAATGCTTTCCATTTGATATTCATGATATTTACAATTCCGGATACTGCAGTTTGGTACTGCATTAATTTTGTTGTTTAGAATTTGTAATTGCACCAATATCATTTGTAATCAGAAGTTGAATATTTTTGTGCATATAACACCGATATTCTTAACTGTATTATGAAGTAGGCGTGGGAAGTATCTTTTTTTTATATGAACAACTGATACACTTATCCTCTAGAATACGCAGTATAAAATTCTTCGGGCCTCTAAGGAATTTATTCTCTTGGATAATTACAGCTTAATTTTCCCCTTCAATTTCAAATATTTATTACACCAGAAAGGTATATTCCAATGCAAGTAAAGAAGCTACATATATTCTTATTGTATTTACAAAAATAAAGTTTACAGAGCGTCAACAACTCAATGAGTCTCTCACTAAACGCACAGCAACATACAAATAGTGCAAGTGTTATTTTCTTAATTTTCGTATAATTCATATAAAATCATGATAGAAGCCTTAAGCATGTGCTTTTTCTTATATTTTGGAAACAACAGTATACTGTAATGAAATACGCTGCATTTCAAAATGCCATTGACAATTTGATGTAAGAGCACTATACTTTTATCAAGATCTCAAGGTAAGATTCAACAACTTTTCTTATGGTCGGTAATTGATAAACAGGGGGTCTTTTCACAAAATATCTTAGAACTAGAACTGATCGTAAGTTATACTGAAATGTTTATGACTTATGATGTATTGAAATTGATCAAATGTCTTTGTTAAATAGTAACAAACAAACATTTTTTCTCATCTACTGTTGTTTTCAGATAACGAACTTTCAAAAGTATATTTAAACGCGCTAAACGATTTATCAAATCTTACCTCTTCAATGGTATAATGTTAAGGTGTCCAAATGTTGGAATAAGGCATAGCTTGGCAAGTCGTCTTTTATATGCAAAATTTTACATGAAACAAGACAACACAATGTACGCTGTTGACATGTTAAAAATAAGTTTGATATGGCAATCAATCAAGAAGGTTGATTGCGGTAGTGGTCACATAAATAATTACATTGATGCTACAAAAAACTAAAACTTATAATATCAGTAGACAATAGCTAAGAAATGTTTGTCATCATAGGAATTAATGTAAACGGTTAAGGTTTTTCATTTCGTTTTTCACTCCTCATTTTTAGTCGTTTTTTATGAAAGCAGACCTTATTGATCATCATGGTTTCTTTGATCTGCAACATAAAGCTACATGTATCTTTGAATTTGTTTATTGTTCTGTTTGCTGGTAACCTAATTTTTTTCACTAACAGGTGATTCTTTTGCATTATTCCTGTGAACCTATATGAAGTCTGCTTCATATAAATAACGGAACAAGACGACAAGACGAATAACACAGTTGGGTTCAATAGGATTGTGATTTTAAAAACACTTCCTTCAAACGTAACAAACATGTTGACAATTATATAATCAAACATCTTGATGATGTCAGTTGCAGAGAATGTTTTTTTTTTTTAATCTGAGTTTTTTTTTACAAAGTATGACTTATCTCTTTCTTCAACTAGATATTTTTATTTACGTTGGACATGAAATAAAGTTGAAGTAACCCATTCAATCTGTTTTTAAGTGAATAATGCGAAAAAGTAGTGTAAATGATAAAAGAGTCAAATGTTTTAAGACTATCATACAACTACAGATACTTAGATTTTAGTATCCACATACGATTTCTCACTGCCCTAGAGCAGATAGTTTCAAATTAACTCTCAAGCAAGTGTTATATTGCTGACCAAATAGATGTTGATAATTAGAAAAAAAGTTGCTTGGGGCCTTTGGAAGAATTAGCAATATGACGTTGTTGGTAAGGACACTGATGTAATTTGGGTATCCAGTACAGTGAGGGAAGATTAAATGTTCAGCTCTCAATCTTTGTTTAATATTCTAAAGGAACATTGCATGGAACTACGACTGTTCATAATGTATAACATTTGTCAATTAGAAGTGCAAAAACTTAAACATTTGCGTTATTTTAAAATTGACCGATGAAAACTTAACCTAATAGTATATTTGTTGTGAATATGAGGACGCAATGCACTAAATGATCTTATCTTTTGTCAAAATGTTTTCAACAATTAAAAAAAGTATATCATATCTTATATCAATTATATGTTATAGTATTATTGTCAATAACATAATTCCCGCAAAAACCTTTTTTGATTTATGTACATGGTATATGTATTAGGTAGACTGGTATACTGTTCATTATCGTTCATAGAATAACATTTCAGAAATGTATGTTTAAAAAAATGAAAAATATTTAAGAAATATTTTTTTAAAGTTTCCGTGTGCGGACTTCAATCGTTAATTCAGCTGTTATTAACTGAGTTTCCCGGCGACTTGATAACTGATTTGGAAATAAGATAAAACCGAAGTATCTACAGTACGGATATTCCTATCATATAATGCTATGTCTTAATGGGTAAATTCAATAAATAAATATACGTGATCTCTTCTTAGTGTCTTATAAAAATGCATGGAACGCTGTATTTATAAACATATTTATAATTACTTCAGACAGAATTATATTCTAAAGCAAAACCAGTTCGGCTTCACTAGGGGGGACTCTGCTGTAAATCAGTTAGTTGATATTTCGAATGATTTTGGAAAAGCTTTGGATAGTGGCAAAGAAATACGTGTTGTGTTCTGTGACATAAGTAAAGCATTTGATAGTTTGCGAAAAGGTCTTCTCATTAAATTACAGAGGTATGGTATATCTGGAAAATTACTTAAATGGATAGAAAATTATTTGAATGGAGGGTCTCAAAGAGCAGTTATAAATGGTTCAAATTCTGACTGGTTGTCGACTAATGCTGGTGTTCCACAAGGTTCCATATTAGGTCCTCTTTTGTTTGGTATTTATTAATGACATAGTGACTGATATCAAAGCCCAAAGTAAGCTTTTTGCTGACGATACAAGTCTACATTTAACTTGATAATCCAGTAGGAGCTGCAGAAATTTTCAATAGCGACTTGAACAAAATTTCACGAATGGTCCCAAAAATGGCTTGTAAAATTCAACCCTAAGAAAACTGAAACCATAATTATTTCACGTAAAAATACAAAATCTTATCACCCACCTTTAAAAAAGAATAACGAAGAATTACACGTAGTCGAAACGCACACGCATTTAGGAGTATTATTTTCTAATAATGGCTCATGGAAGATAATGTTGATTATATTGTACAAAAATCTTACAAAAGACTTAATATTTTAAGGAAAATAAAACACACTTTAGATAGAATGACCTTGGAAAAAATATATGTATCGTTTATAACACCTATCATTGAATATGCTGATGTTATCTGGGATTCAGGAAATCAAACTTTAATGAATAAACTCGAAAACATTCAGTTGGACGCCGATCGTAAAGTTACTGGGGGAACTAAACACACAAGTACTTCGATGTAAAATAACTTAAAAGAAACCCAATTGGAGAAACTTACATATCGAAGAAGTAAGCAATAATTAATACTGCTTCATAAAATTGTCAATAATAAAACCCCAAAATATTTGCAAGAGTTATTGCCTGACTATGTCAGTGGTCAACATGACCACAGTACAAGACAAAGTAATAATCTATGAGCGGTAAAATCCCGTACAAAACTTTATTCAGATTATTATCTTCCGTCATCCATCAAATAAAATCATTTGCCATTAAGTGTAAGAAATTGTGAATCGCTCTCTGTATTTAAGAAACATATTTGTAATCAGAACGAATGAATCCCTTTATACTTTAATGCTGGATGTCGAAAAGGCCAAATTCTTCATGTGCGACTAAGAATGAATAGTACGTAGACTACTAGTTCTTTAAACTGTCACTTGTTTCCAAGAAACTTAGTTTCTTCTCCTCACTGTCGCTGTTGTGACTTAAAAACTATTTCACATTTTTTATTATTTTGCCCATTATATTCTGACATAAGACAAGAAATGATAATATCATTTGGAAGCCTACAATTCACAGTACCAATGGACACCGAATTACGATTAAACGGCTCAAATATAATTTCAAATGAAGAAAACATTAGTTTATTTCTCATTGTACAAAGATTCATTATTAAATCTAAAAGGTTTACAAACTATCAATTCTCACAATATACCTGTAATCATTTCATCTTATTAGTTGCATTTTTCTTTTCTATTTCAGTTCCATATGAAACTCAGCTGACATTATCAATATTTTTATTATGTAACAAAGCATGTAGTTTTGATTTATTTGTGTATATTGTATCTAACTTAACAAGGAGACAGATTAACATAAGCACTTGTTGCTTGTTTCTGAATCCTATTTGTGAATGTGAATATATATTGTAATTGTATAATTCAAAATAAACAAATATTGTTTACACCAAGAACAGCACATTTGGGGAGAGATTTCGAGATATTACGTGCTTGTTATTTGCATAGAACCTTTAGAAATTATTGTGTTTGTAACAATCAAAACGCCGTATTAGAAATTTAATTTTTTTCCATAGCATTATGGAAAGTTTAAACATATCGCAATCCTCGCAATTAGTAAAAGCATTCTTTGTCAATATTGACCTTTATCTGCGAGTGAAAGTTTTACTCTTTGTTGTGAACTTTTCCTGTTGTAATGCTATAATGTTACACCAGTGTCTATGGTTAGGTGAATGGTAAATGCTGGCATACAACTTTAATACATCCAAATCATTTATGTACTGGCCCACTCGTAAACACATTCATTAATATGCAAAGTAAGATAAAAAAAATGCCGAGGTAGCCGCATCAACTCGAAATGGAGCGAAAGTAGATTCGACAACTTTATAAGTGTCTCCTGCTACACATTATTGCACGTCAATTCAAATCAACATCCAGTCAAAATGTTACAATAGGGAATATGACAATATCGCTAAATTTACAGATCAAACGGCTCTATTGGTAACCGTCAAATGCAAATCGCCTGTGAGTTGAGACAAAGACATATCGTATCGGTTTACAAGTTTATGATGGTGACCATAAAATATATGAAGTGTTGATATCAATCTCTCTTTATTATTACCCTACTTGAGAAGTTTTTGCCAAAAGATAAAAAGTAAATGACGTTCTCTAGAAGTCTGTTTAATGTGTTCAAAGAAGAATAATCTAAAGAAGAAAGACGTGCATAAAGAAACCTACGGAAGCCGATAAGGGTCATTCAAAAAAAATTAATTTATGTCGTAATTACGACATAACGACATCGCTATGTCGTATTAACGACATATTATGTGGAAATAACGACATCGCTATGTCGTAATAACGACATATTATGTGGAAATAACGACATCTCTATGTCGTAATAACAACATATTATGTGGAAACCCACTAGTTATTTTTGTTTTAAAAATTATAAGATTTAAATTTGATTATACAGATAGTTATAAACATGTCACAGAATATAAAACCATTGCTTAGTTATAAATTGAAGTTTAAGTACGAATTGGTTTACTAACCAATACCTGAAAATATAATAATTGTATGAACAAAGATTTCCTTGCACAATTAACGGAAAACGAACTGGACATCGGTCACTACATATGTTTTGTTTAGTAATAATGAATCGAGAAGGATACATTTGGAGGGGGTGTGATAAGAGACATTTGTTTGGCCCCTGAAATTGCACAACTAGTAAAAATTATGCAAACGGATGTCAGTTTGAATGATAATTAAACCAGCTGATATAATCTGTCAACTCAAAAAGATATTTTACACACATTAACATCATAGTAAAATACATTGTGTAGCAAGTATTTTTGGGTAAGGCCTTGGCTCATATCAAATTTGTTATTTATTTAATCCATGGCATTATCTGAAATGTTGATAGCAAATTAGACGTTATGCTGTTGTCTTAATCTTTTGTTTCGAAATTTGCATGTTAACTGTAACTTATCTTGGAAGTTGAA